ATATAATATATATATATATATATTAATGCATGCATTTCTTTCTTTCTTTTTTTTCTTTTTTTCTTATTGTTATATAAAAGTACCATTTGTTGCTGTTCCTCCCTTCCTCCCTTCCTCCCTTCCTCCCTAAACCCTAAACCCTAAACCCTAAACCCTAATTAGTTAATAGTCCTTAATTATCTATTAAACAAACCTAAAAAAGCAGACACAAAGTTATTAACCCTACTGAGGTGTACGTACACCTCAATAAAAGGTATACAATGCATGCATAAATTAATTAATGCATGCACAAAATAATTAATGCATGCACGCATGCATGCATGCATGCATGCATGCATTTTTTTGTTCTTTGTGTAGATAAATAAATATAAATAAATAAATTGTTATATATAATATAAAAAGAATAAAATAAATAAATAAAAAAAAACTTTTTTTTTTCTTATTTGCCCTCTCCTTTCAGGTGTATATGCAGCTCTCTGTATATATATGTGCTATCTACCTGCCTATACACCCAAAAAAAAGGAGGCCTCTGCATGCATGCATGCATGCATGCAGCTGTATCTATGCATGCATGCATGCATACATACATACATACATACAGCTGCATGCAGAGAGTACATGCATGCATGCATGCATGCATGCATGCATGCATTGCGGTGTACGTACACCGCGTAGTCTAAGAAGAATCAAAAGAAGGACTCTCAAATATATCATGAATAGTTAGGGGCTGCTGCTGCTGGCTGCTGCTGCTGCTGCTGCTGTTTGCTGCTGCAGCAGCAGCAAGACTAGAGGCAACCCATGAAGAAGCCAGTGATGATGCATGCTGCAGCAGCTGCTGCAGATCTCCCTCTGGTCCTGCTTCATTTGCTGCAGCAGCAGCAGAAGCAGTTGCTGCTGTTGTTGCTGCTTCTTCTTCCTCCTCTTCTTCTTCTTCTTCTTCTTCTGCTGCTGCTGCTGCTGCTGCAGCCTCCTTTGGCGACTCACCAGCGGAAGCAGGTTCAGAAGCAAACAGATCAAGTTCATCTACTTCTTGCTGCTGCTGCTGCTGCTGTTGCTGCTCCTGTGGCCCAGCTGCATCCACGCTATTGCTGCTGCTGCTGCTGCTGCTGCTGCTGTTAGCAGCAGCAGCAGCATCTGTGTCCTCTGTTGCTGCATCAGGGTCTGTAAAGAGAGCATCAAAGAGCTCCATTTCATTATCTTCCCCTTCTGCTGCTGCTGCTGTTGCTGCTGTTGCTGCTGTTGCTGCTGCTGCTGCTGCTGGTTCTGCATCCCCTATACCGCAGGAGTAGCTGCTGCTGTTGCTGCTGCTGCCATCTCCCTGCTGCTGATGATCTTGCTGCTGCTGTTTCGTTGACACGCATGCATCTCCAGCAGTTCGGGACAGCTGGTCTTCTTGCAACTGTTGCTGCTGCTGCTGCTGCTGTTGCTGCTGTTGCTGCTGCTGCTGCTGCTGCTGCTGCAGCGCGAGCAGCAAATTCTCCCCCCACAATCTTTGAAGACAAAATTCAATATCCGTGACGGAGATAACAGCAGGTTTCTGTATCCAGTGCAGCAGCAGCTGCTGCTGCTGCAGTTGCTGCAGTTGCTGCTGCTGCTGCTGCCTAGCAATAGCATAACCAGCAGCAGACTGCAGCACCTCATCTATGAATAATTCACAGCCAAGAGCAAGGATACGCAGCAGCGGCGTGTCTATATCTGCTGCTGCTGCTGCTTCCTCCTCTGCTGCTGCAGCATCTGCTGGGCTGCTGCTAAGATCTGCATCCTCTGCTGCTGCACCAGATGCAGCAGCAGACGAAACAGCAGCAGCAGCAGCAGCAGAAGCAGCTGTTGCTGCTGAGGCGTCAGACTCCCCCCAACTCGTGCTGCTGTCTGTACCAGGGGGATCGCCAAGCTTCCTTCTCTTCTTGCTGTCAGCAGCAGCAGCAGAATCTGCTGCTGCTGCTGCTGCTGCTGCATCAGAGAGGCTCTTGCGGATAAACCAACCCCACATATTCCCCTCTCCTTCAAGTGCTGCTGCTGGGGTGATTGAGGCAGTCGTCTAACGGGCTTGAATGTCTTTCCTGTTGCTGCAATGTTTTGCTGCACAACAGCAGCTGCTGCTCTATCTGCTGATGCTGCAGCGCATGCAGCAGCAGCTGCTGTTGCTGCTGCTGCTGCTGTAACTGGTGCTGATATACGCACCGGGTGTACAGACACCCGAGGAGGCCCCTCTACGCTGCTTGTTGCCAAGGGCAAAGGAAGCCCTTGAGGCAGCACAGGCCGCATCCTACAGCAGCAGCAGCAGCAGCAGCGGCAGCCGAGGCAGCATTGGCGAAGAAGAACAGCTGCTGCTGTTGCTGCTGTTGCTGGTGCTGTTACTGCTGTTACTGCTGCTGCTGCTGTTGCTGCTGCTGCTGCTGCTGCCGATTGACGCCGCTGCAGTCAAGATCACAAACTTCTTAATGATTAGGATATGCAATTGTAAAGAGATGGCTACTAACAATGCTGCTGCTGCTGTTGTTGCTGCTGCTGCTGTTGCTACTGTTGCTGCTGTTGCTGCTGTTGCTGCTGCTGTTGCTGCTGTTGCGGCTGCTGCTCTTCAAGGTCGTGGCAGCCTCTTGCGGTGTCTACTGTCTGTCTAAATAATTAATTCAAATAATTTTTGCTGTTGCTGCCTTGATCCTTTAATCTCCTGCAGCAGCCGCAGCCACAGCAGCAGCCGCAGCAGCAGCAGCAGCCGTTGCAGCTGCTGCTGCATGCATGCGCTACTGCAGCAGCCTAGTTCCTGATGTTAATAACAAGCAGCAAAAATATTATCAACAGAAAGAAGGGAAATATTGTATAACATCTTCTTTAGGTCTTGTGGCTACTGCAGCAAGCTGCTGCTGCTGCTGCAGCTGCTGCTGCTGCTGCTGCTGCTGCAGCTGCTGCAGATACAGAGTAGAGAACAGGAAGACTCATAGGTAGCTCGTGTAGGAGGAGCCTCTACTCACCGGACTACTATGGCTACAACCGCTGCTGCTGCTGCAGCAGCAGCAGCAGCAAGTGCTGCTGCACCTGTAGAGCTGCCAGCAGCAGCAGCAGCCTTCCTCGAAGCATTAAGGCAGACACCTGGCACTTCCTCATCAATTGAGGGACCCCTCGTGCCCTCCCTGCAGCAGCAGCAGCAGCAGCAGCAGCAGCAGCAGCAGCAGCAGCAGCAGCAGGAGGGGGCATCCGAACCAGCAGCAAAGCGAGCCCGTATAGACAGTCTAGACCAGATATTCCCTGCAGCACATACCTGTGCTGCAGCAGCAGCACCAGCAGCAGGAGCAGCAGCAGCTGCTGCTGACGATGCTGCTGCTGCTGCTGCTGCTGCTGCTGTAGGTACACTGCAAGGCCTTGGGGTCCCTATGGAGGCGTTGAGGCAGCAGCAGCAAAAGACAACACATTTAGGGTTTGCTGCTGCTGCTGCTGTTGAGGCAGCACTACATAAATTAGAGCAGCAAGTACATAAATGTGTCTCCCTTAGACAGAAACTACGCGTGCTGCAGCAGCAGCAGCAGCAGCAGCAGCAGCAACAGCAACAAAGCTCCGGAAGCGGAGAAGGCAGCGGTGAGTAGTTTTGTTTCTTCTTGCTGCACCGATTGCAGAAACCTGCTGCTGTTGCTGCTGTTGTTGCTGTGTTTGCTGCTGCAACTATTGCTGCTGCTGCTGCTGCTGCTGCTGCTGCGTGCGTTGCTATTATTATTGCTGCTGCTGCTGCTGCTGCTTGTGTTGTGTGCAGCAGCAAAGGAAAACCAAGGAAAGGGTGGGGGATCAGACACCTCCACGGATCCTCAATCTGCATGGTTAGTGCTGCTGCTGCTGCAGTTGCTGCTGCTGCTGCTGTTGCTGCAGTTGCTGCTGCTGTTCACCCAGTCCTCATTAGTTAACGTGCAGCAAATAGGAAATGCACCTGCTGCTGCTGCTGCTGCTGTTGCTGTTGCTGCTGCTGCTGTTTTTCTTTCAGGACGGCTCTAGTTCGGGAGGCATACCGCAGGACAACCAGCAGCAGCAGCAGCAGCAGCAACAGCAGCAGCAGCAGCAGCAGCAGCAGCAGCAATGAGGATATATATAAGGTAGTATTAGATCTAAATAAGGTGCAGCAGCACGAGATTCCTGCTGCTATGATGGAGCTGCGTCGCTGCCATAGATTAATGTGTCTGCAGCAGCAGCAGCAGGAGCAGCTTGTTGCTGTTGCTGCTAAACAAGGATTTGCTGCTGCTGCAGCAGAAAGGGAAGCAAGCTATCAATATGCCCTGCTATGGGGCTGCGTGCTGCTGCTGCTGCGCCATCCTGCTGCGCATGCACGGGCCTTACTGGAGCAGCTGCAGGAGCAGGAGGAATCCATTAGCAGCAGCAGCAGCGACAGCAGCAGCAGCAGCAACAACACCAGCAGCAGCAGCAGCGAGTCAGCAGCAGCAGCAACAGCAGCAGAAGGGACAAAAGAAGAAGAAGATCTATCTCTTGCTGTTGCTCTTTATAGACTTGCTGCTGCTGTGTCTTCTGATGATGTAACTGCAGCAGCAGCAAAAGCTGCTGCTTCTCCTTCTGCTGCAGCAGAAGCAGCAGCAGTAGCAGCAGCAGCAGCAGAAGCAGAGGAAGCATTTCATGAACGTCTTCTCTCTTTCCTTACGAAAGAACTGCAGCAAAGGCAGCAGCACATTGCATCTGTTGCTGCAGCAGAGAAGAGACGAATGGCTGTGAGCTGCTGCTGCTGTTGCTGCTGCTGCTGTGTCTGCTGCTGTTCGTGCCGTTTTTGCTGCTGCTGCTGCTGCATGCAGCTCGTGTCTAGTGGTGTCGCTTCTGTTTCTTTTGCTTGTGCTGCTGCTGCTGCTGCTGCTGCTGTTTATCCCTTAATGAAGGAACGCATGCATGCATGCATGCATGCATGCATGCATGAATTGGGGTGTATGTACAGGCAGAGAAGGAGAGGCAGCAAGCAGAAGGACGATTGAAGGCACTGCAGCAAAAGCAGCAAGTGCTGCGCCGTATTATTAGTGAATTTGCTGCTCTATGTAATGCAGCACCTACTCCTGCTGCTGCTGCTGCTGCTGCTGCTGCTGGCAGCAGCAACAACAACAACGGCAGCAGCAATAGTAGTATTAGCACCAACAGTAACGGTGACACAACTAATACTACAAGCAGCAGCAGCAGCAACAGCAGCAGCAGCAGCAACAGCAGCAGCAGCACGTTGAAGCAGAATTCTGCTGCTGATAAAGAGCAGCAGCAAAGCTGAAGGGAATAGACTCGTTTTTTTGCTGCTGCTGCTGTTGCTGCTGCTGCTAAGCAGCAGCAGCAACAGCAGCAGCAGCAAAGTTAAAGAGACATTTGTATTCTTAATAGAGACACAAATAAATAAATAAATAAATAAAT